GCACATCCGCAAGTTTGGCGTGTGTGTTGCAACACTGGGCACGGAAAACAAAACCAGATACTGTAGGTTGTGACAAGAGCGAGGTCGGGGGGTGTTGGTTTTGAGGACGGTGCACGCGCGTGTGTCGTATGAAACTACGCCGCATCAGCGATCAAACACAACGATCCATCTATCCCAGTAGATGAAAAAAGGAGGCGCTGCTGTGTAGTATTGACGTTTGTTGCTGCATGCGTATTCCATGTGTTATGTTGTGGGTGAAGACATACAGTAAGTCGATGCTAGCCCTACCCCTACCCGATTCACTCGCAATACCCAAGCCGGTTGGTTCCCCGAACCGAATATCAACCCCAACTCCAACTTGTACCGCGACCAAAATTCCGGCTACGAACATAAACAAAAAGACGGTAGGAGATATACGAGGCGGTAAAGGCGGCGTCGAAGGCGGCGGCGGGTCTGGAGGAGCACCACCGAGAGGTTGTGGCGAAGGGGATGGAGGCCACGCGGACCCTCCGCACGATCGCCAGCGAGACCAAGAGGAGCCTCCTGCACAGCGTAGACGTGAGTAGTCAGCAGGCAGTACACGCTTTCGTCGTTTTTGGTGTTGATGGTGTTTACGTGTAGATTTGCATACCTCTGTCGTTTGATTTGCCGTGATGTGTTGGGGTGTTTTCATTGTGGGCGACGACAACGTCAACGAGGAGACCAAGCACCATCGGCCTTGGAGAGATGACAGCCGCAGCGAGGTAGCCATTTCTTGTCTGCGCCCCCGCCCCGACAGGGGAATATGACAGAAATTATGTAGCGTGAGACACGAAGGAGGTGTGGGTAGGTGGATGCGTAGAAAAAGGAGCGTATTCAAAGGCCAGCGATGCAATGAGGGCCCTTCTGCACTTGTTTCGCACAAGGGCTGCCAGACTGGAGGTATCCCATCTCCCTGGGAGGTGTACATATTGTATTCCAAGTGCTTTGACGATGGTGCAACCAAGTGCCGGTGCTCATGGCCCCGTTTAAGTCATCTTCCCTGTTATGTTCGCTAAGGCGTCTTTGAGTTGTTTTCTTTTTCGTTCCAGTTCCCGATGGCGTCCGCATTCACCGACCCTGTCCTCTACGACAGTGTTTTGTCGTTTATTTTTCGGTTTGATCATGCCGTCCTCTACCTCCTGCCCTTCGTTCTGATACGTATCGATCATGAGTGTGTGAGTGTGGGTACGCCGCCCGTTTTGGGCTGTTTCCGCCTTTAGTCGATCAAGCCCAACATCTCAATACGCCTTCGTCGTTTCAACCGGAGTCGGGCTGTTTGTTGACCCCTCTCGACACGCTCGTCCACACAAAACTGCGGGTTGCCTTTTGTTCTTTTTCATTTTTTTGCAGAAGCAAGAGAGCATGTCGACGGGCTGGTTGGTTTGAGCGGTCAGAGCAACAGTCATATCGTGAAGACAACGGCATCCGCCACGGTTGTACGAACGACCACGATGCCCACAAACTCTGTCACAAATACTGCTGCTAAAGATGCTATTGCTCAGAAGCTGCTGGAACAATCCACATGACATTGGCAACTTGTGTGCGTCTCATGTAGGCGCGGACGGTGAGAGTGCTGGAGGACGCGATGAGGCTGCTTATCCTGTACGCGGAGAAGCAGATGTCTCCAAGGTCTAGCAAGAGCGACTACTGTCCCTAGGAGAAGACCGCCGCGATCGAGGCCACCAGGACCGTCAATGTTTGGATTAGTATTGTTTGTTTGTTCTGTTGGTAGGTTGGTGGGCGATTGTCGTTGTTGATGGCTGGTGGTCGTTGTTTTCGTAACATTTACAGCCGTCGTGTCATCGTAATCGCATGCAATCTTTGCACTAGCCGCCCTGCTTCAAGGGACAGATGTTCGCCCGCGATTTTTGAACGAAACCCGGCAGTGTCCCACGCACATGCTGCATCCACTGCTGTTAGGATTCCTTTTGCGTCATCCCACGCTATGTGCTTGCTCGCTCTTGTTCCCTGTTTTCGTGGGGCCTCAGTGTTCTTTGGACGTTGCTTCTCTTGCCCCAACGAGGACACTAGCGCGAAGATGTGCGAAACGAAATTGTCATGGTGTTTCTATTTACTCCCTTAGTGATGCCTACATACGATACGATACGATGTGGAGTGCGCTGTCCCGGGTGCGTTGTGCTACAAGGTACCGACATTAGCTCGAGCCCAGTTTCTACCTTTTGCGACTGGAAAACGACCCCCCTCCATTGTTTTCTGTCCTCTTCATGCTGCTTTGTTTTGCCGCCTTATCCCCATGGCCATCGTTACCGTTGACGTTGCCGTTGCCGTTACCGTTACCGTTCCGGTTACCGTTATCGTAACCGTCACCGTCATCGTTTAGGCGGTGTTCTCCGTACTGGAAGAGCAACACAGCGTCTTCGTAAAGTGCCTCAAGGAGGTCGACCAAAGAATTGACCTCCGGATGCTCTGGGAGAGCGTCGGACACCGGGTGAATTTTTCTTGAACCTAATCATTATTCTTGGTAGTGTTCTCCATCTTTGTAACCCCCATGTAACGCTAGCCCTGCCGAGGCGAGGCTGTAGCTTTAGCCTGTGGAGGGTAAGGTAAGGTGCGACCAGCGAGTGGGGAACTCGAAACGCTGTTGGAGCTCGGTTTGAGACCTTGATATCCTCAAGTATCATCGATCGTAGCTAAAGAACTGGATCCTCCCCCACGCACGCCCCAAATCCTACCCTCGGCAGTTCTTCGCCGTCCTCCTCACGTTGCACTTGGTAGGGGTAGTTCATAGCTTGCTTGCGCAATCTCCTCATACCACCCCCGTCAGACGCCGGGGAAGCTGGAAGACCCCCATCATCGAACCGCTGGTATGCTTGTGTTCACAATGTTGCGTTGCCGTCTGGTAGCTATCTCCTGCCTGTTCTTAGCGGCGCGTTTTCTCCACGCTCCTGTGGATCTTTGGCAGCGCATGGCTGCAGGAGGTCTCTCCTCGTGGCTTAGTCATCGAATGAGTTTTCTCTTTGAATGTGCGGGTTCCATTCATAAAGTGCCTGCCTTAAGCGGGCACGTTCCTGCCTGTGTTTTACCAACCTCCCCTTTAACAAACCGAACCTAATCCGGACGGGTATGGGAAACACGCATCAAGCAAGCACGCCCCCCCGACATGTTTCAAACAGCGGTGGCTCGCCTGTCCGAAAAATTACGACGCACGGGTCATGATGCAACATCATTCGCCGCCTGGCTAACGCATAGCTCCCTTGGGCTATCGCGGCCTTTGTCGGGTAGTGTCTTGTGGCAACGTGCTTCTCGCTAACGATGACGATGGCCGCTGCCTCCGCCTACACGACACCCGCTTTCTGTTTTCTCGGCAGGTTCACGAGTTGTTCGTGGAGCACCTGAGCAAGACGAAGATCAACGTCATCGATGCATTCCTTTAGGCCAACCACGTCAACCGCCCGCCTACAGGTAAACACCATACGATAGAGCGGCAACGGCCGAGTGCCTTGAGCTGCGGCCCTCTGTACGCTGCATGGCTAGACAACGCTACTGATGTCGTCGGTGCTTTGAAATCTATCTCCTCATCAAATCCAGCAGCTCGATGTCATTTACTGGCTAGATGAGTTATTTTGCGTATGCTTTTCGTGTATGTGATATTTTTTCTCGTCGACACCGCCATCTTGGTTGATTGGTCCAAGATATTTCTTGCCGGTGATTCAAAACTCGTGAGGGGGAACTGCTGTGGTCCATGAGACAGCGATGGCGATCAATTGGCTCGATGGTAACTTCCGGCACCCACGTGGTATTTTGCTCGCAGTGCCCGTTTTACAGGAGCGGCTACACTAGTATTGAGTGATGGGCGGGGCGGGAGGCGACGGTAGCGTGTTGATATATTACGTCCAGAAAGAGCGTGGTATGCAAGCTTTGGTGGCCGTGTGTCGTCCGCTTTTGTTTGTTCTTCCCCTCCCCTGTACATATTTCATTCGCGGAGTGCCCCTGTGCTTGACGACGGCACGCGTTGATGATGGGGTGGATGGCTGCTTCCGCTTTAGTTTTGAAATTTCCAACGAGTTCGCTCTTTTTCCGACCAGCAGTACAGTATCATATGTATACCTTTACTTCGTACGACGGTGCGCGGTGCTCTGTCCCCGCAGAGGGAGAGGGAGGTGCTGGAGCGATGCGACTGATGGCCTTCGATTTTCACCATAGGAAATATGGATGTGTGTGCTGCGTTCTGTGCTACTGTTTCCCACTGATTCGCTCTCGTTTTTTTCTGTTTCATCATGGCGGCGTCTGGCCGTCGGCCGTGTGATCGAGCGCCGCCCCGCTATCCTTCCTTGCCTGCTCTTCGATCTGCCCATTCCCTCTCTACTCACTTCCCTGCTGTGTATTCATTCACCCTCCACGGCTCCTCTGCCGTGTGTTCATTCCCTCTCTGCTCACTGTTCTGCTGTGTGTTGGTTCGGCCTGTGCTCGCTGCTCTGCGGTGCACTCATCTACTCTCTACTCGCCTCTCTTCTGTGCGCGCACCCGCCGCCTCCGTCCCTACTCTTTCCTTTGCTACGCGCTCTCACTCACTCTCTACTCACTTCTCTTCTGTGCGCTCACTCACTCACTCACTCCCTACTCTCTCCTTTGCTATGCGCTCTCACTCGCTCTCTGCTCACTTCCCTGCTGTGCTCTCACTCACACAGGAGGTGTTGGGGAGGTTTGGGTGCGAGGGGGTAACCTCGGCGGCGGGGCAGCTGCGGGAGATAGCCAACCTCTACGTCGTGCCACCGGAAAACCTGCTATCGCTGATGGAGCAGGGAGGGCTAGTGGAAATGGGCAAGGAGGTACGTGCTGCTGCTGCTGTTGTTGTTATGCTGTTGTTGCTGTTGTTGTTGCTGCCTCTGTTGTCGTTTTAGGTCTCTCTTCTCTAGCGCTGGACGTCACTAGACCTTCTGCTCATGAGGCTCCCCTGCTCCAGCTGTTTCTGTACCGCATGCTACTGCTGAACAGAGATTTGGTGCCTTTAGTGTAGTACACACATCAAACTTGGCCCCATCACCTGGCCGGGTGTGTGTGCTTCTTTGGTCCAGACGTCAACATACCTTTACATGCGCTAGGTGGGATCGGCAAGAACACGGGATATCATCTCACAATACCGATCCCGGCCCCTGTAGTTGCGTTGAGATGATCAGTATTGCCCGACAAGGTGCAAGATGTTTTACTCAGCAGCAACCGCAGCCATAGTACATTCCTTTTTTTTTTTTTTTAACGGCCTCCTGACTAGGCCCGTTCTACCTAGCCTTCCTCGAGGCGGTATCGGCTATGTCATGCCAGGAGCTAGCTTCCTCCTTCCATCAAGAGGCATCATAATCTTTCGTTACGGCACTACTTGCCCCTCCCCTTTTGTATNGCTCGCTGCTCTGCGGTGCACTCATCTACTCTCTACTCGCCTCTCTTCTGTGCGCGCACCCGCCGCCTCCGTCCCTACTCTTTCCTTTGCTACGCGCTCTCACTCACTCTCTACTCACTTCTCTTCTGTGCGCTCACTCACTCACTCACTCCCTACTCTCTCCTTTGCTATGCGCTCTCACTCGCTCTCTGCTCACTTCCCTGCTGTGCTCTCACTCACACAGGAGGTGTTGGGGAGGTTTGGGTGCGAGGGGGTAACCTCGGCGGCGGGGCAGCTGCGGGAGATAGCCAACCTCTACGTCGTGCCACCGGAAAACCTGCTATCGCTGATGGAGCAGGGAGGGCTAGTGGAAATGGGCAAGGAGGTACGTGCTGCTGCTGCTGTTGTTGTTATGCTGTTGTTGCTGTTGTTGTTGCTGCCTCTGTTGTCGTTTTAGGTCTCTCTTCTCTAGCGCTGGACGTCACTAGACCTTCTGCTCATGAGGCTCCCCTGCTCCAGCTGTTTCTGTACCGCATGCTACTGCTGAACAGAGATTTGGTGCCTTTAGTGTAGTACACACATCAAACTTGGCCCCATCACCTGGCCGGGTGTGTGTGCTTCTTTGGTCCAGACGTCAACATACCTTTACATGCGCTAGGTGGGATCGGCAAGAACACGGGATATCATCTCACAATACCGATCCCGGCCCCTGTAGTTGCGTTGAGATGATCAGTATTGCCCGACAAGGTGCAAGATGTTTTACTCAGCAGCAACCGCAGCCATAGTACATTCCTTTTTTTTTTTTTTTAACGGCCTCCTGACTAGGCCCGTTCTACCTAGCCTTCCTCGAGGCGGTATCGGCTATGTCATGCCAGGAGCTAGCTTCCTCCTTCCATCAAGAGGCATCATAATCTTTCGTTACGGCACTACTTGCCCCTCCCCTTTTGTATGTAGCGCCATTCACGTGGGGAAGCTAATGCCACAACAATCGTCACGTGCGTCGAAGAGGAAATGAATGGTGGGTTTCGTAGAGGCCTCCCGGAAGAGGTCAGCGTGAAGTTGGTTTCCAACATTGGCGTTAACCAACCGCGACAGACACGACGACGACGATGATGGCCAACACGCATGAATAGCAATGACCGATATCCAAGGCGAAACTAGTAGAGAGAACAAAAACGTCCATCATAGTGATCAACTACATTTTATTTCCTCCATTTGGCAACACCAGAAACTGGTGGGGTTCGTGCGGATGCGAGCGGACTATCACATGGGCGTCGGTTCGAGGTCTCAGGAGTTGTTCCCGCAGGACGACGATGGGGTCGACTTTGCACGAGCGTTCGGCGGGGGGGTTAACGAGGCTGACGAGGGTGTTGCGCTCCTTGTCCAAGCCCAAACCCAGCCTGCTGTGTGTTAAGTTTGACAAGGGTGGTTGAAGCCTCGCTCCCCGACTACGAAGCCACTTGCGGAACAGGAACCGGGCATTAGGGACATTGGGGGGGGTGGTATTCATTAGCCGACGGCATGGTTTCCCTCCATTTTCGATTGGATGATTGTCAACAGTCAAAGTGGCGTTTCGCCATTCCTCCATCGTCAAAGGCAGCGGCATGTTCGGGGTGTGGCCACGAGGGGTGCCACTTCTTCGAGACGACGCGCGCACGCCCTTCGTTTGTGTGAAAGTGCGAGAGAAACCGTCTCTCATCTGTATCTTGTAAATGCCCATCTTTTCGTGTGGTTTGCCACAATGTTTACACGAGGTACATGTTGCGTACAGGATTAAGCTACACTCTTCCATGGGTTTGGTGGTAGGCGTGTTTGACGAGGGGGAAATCAGCAATGCTAACTCTCCTTCCTGCACTATTTGAAGAATCATTCTTGTACGTGTTCAGGAATGAGATTGCCGCCGTTTTTGTTTTTTTGTGGCTTGACCTGCGCAGTGAGAGTTGCTACCGATGTCGGATATTGTAGCACCGTTTGTCGACTTGTTGTGGGCTGATGGGTCTGTTGAGACGGACAGCAGACCGCACGGGAGGAGCCTGTGGGGACCTGGGGCCACAAGTCGTAGGTATTGCATTGTACCAGGAGGGCTTGTTCCGGAATATGAGTCGCAGCTGCTTTGTTGTGGGTGGTAGGAGACCGCTGTACTCCATGATTTGCACCCCAAACATCGCGGGTAAAGGATAAGTTTGCCTGTGATAACGGAAATCGATCGGTTAGGTGTTTGATTAGTACGGACAGACGAAGGTACTGGGCAGAGAGATCGGAACGGTTTATACTGTGAAAACAACAGCAACAACAACAGCGGAGGAAGAGGGGATAGTACGTAAACGCCCATCCATCTCTTCAAGCTGTGCTGTACATGACTGTTTCTTGTCATATGTGGCAGCTCGTGGAAATAATGAAATGGGAGCGGAATGTGTGACGAGACTCCACGAGCAAGATAGAATGGCCACGAGGGCAACACACAGGGAAGCTTGGCGACACAGGAATGCAAACGAGAAAAAATATTGTGAAGGCTAGACCCTGCTACTTCACCTCCTTCCATGTGAACAGCGCTCTCTGATCCGGGGTCGTGCGACAGGAGAACATATCTTCCTTGGCACTGCCCCTCCCGGCTTCGCATTAGTTCCACTTTCCATGATTCGAGAGAGGTCCAGCCGTTCCAACCTCAGATACTCTCTAGACATTTCAGCTTTCGCGACCAGGTGTTATCGACAAAGGGTGAAAGAAGCAAGCTCGCGTGGGTGAAACTCCCACCCCAGCCGCGACATACGTTGTGCGGTTGGTGATGTGGATACCTCGGGTCTTCGTACTTCATATTGCACCCATTCTCGAGTTTAGCCGATCAACACCTTGCTTTGACTGCTCGATCTGCTCCAATAGTACGAATGCAGGTCGAGGCTCGATTCACTCTCGCTGGAGTGAATCATCTTCTTCGTTGTTGCGGTTTGCGGTGAAGAGCCATCCATTCGTGAGTTACGGGCACGCTGGAGCACTGAGACATTCTACACTGTAATAACAATGTCCTGTCAAACCCCGGCTGATACATGAAGCGAACGCGGCAAACGTCGGGCAGACTACATCGATCGACCTCAAAGCTCATCCGGAAAACGGAGAGGGTGGCGGGAGGACATGACCTCATTCTCAAATCCAGCACTCGGCACCTAGCGACACCACCACCAACAATAGCGTTGACGAGAAATGTAACACATCAAGACTAGCCAAGACAACGAACGTCCCGCACCCAAGGGTACACCAGTATTATATCCCTGCAACATGCCTACAGTAGTCAAGTATCGATAGTCCTTATTTTTGATATCTTCCGGGGAGTGGGGATTCCGGTAGTCTTATTCCTATACAAAGCATAGGGGTCACGCGCGGGGAACCCCGTTTTCGACGAGGTACCCTTTGCGCGAACCAGGATCCTCTCTTGCGAACCCGCAAGCATGACAACACAACAGGGGTACGACGCCGCACATCAACAACGCACCTAACCCACTCAAAATATGCACGAAACACCGTAACTAGGCGGCACATACGATGTCTCCTCCACTTACGGTTTGCGTGGAGCACGCTCTAAGCCCCAAAGAAAAGCAAAACTCTCGAAACGTTTTTTTCGGCCCCGCAGTAGGTGTACCGGATGACTCTTTTGTTTCCCCTTGCACAAATGCACACGAGGACTACATTCTTCTCGAGCTCGAGTGGAACAACATCAACAATGTACGAAATCCCGACGCGGTTCCACTACTGTAGGTAGGGCATGGTAAAACCAGCCTCCCATGCATGGTGGACGGCAGCCAAGAGAACGCACTACAAGGCAGAAGGCCAAGCCTACCTCTAGACCTGTTTTCTGCCGTGCACTCCTTGAAAAGGTGTACCCAAGGCCACACGAGGAGCTACATCATGACCAAGAAGGTCCCAAGAGACAGACGCTTAAATACGAGCTCAAATGTCACGACGTTTTTACTGCTTCAGTTGTGGATCAACACACCGCAGAAAAAATGCGGTGCGGCTCCAGGTTCGGCGGAAAAAGTCAGTCCGACAGGGCATCAGCACATAAGGTCACTTGGCTTTGTTCGATGTACATCGTCAAGCTCATCTCTAACAATCAATCCACGCCACCAATAGCTTCGACCCAGGGTAAAAATGCCAAGCAAAATGCCATCTCGCACACCTAGATGCTCCCCTCCCCCGCCTCCCCCCGGGAGGGAAGAAAAAACGTTTTCGAATACTTGCCCCTCTCGGGGCTTCGAGCCCCACTCCACGCAAGCTATGCATACAAGTGGGGGGCACATCGTGTGTGCTAACTAGTTACGACGTTTCACACATATTTTGAGCGGATCAGGTACTGTGTTAATGTGCCACGTCGTACCCGTTTTGAGTTTTTCTGCTTGCGGATTAGCAAGAGAGCACCCTAGCTCGCGCAAAGGGTAACTCAACGAAAACAGGGTTCCCCCGCGGGGCCCCGACGCCAAATAAAGAACTGTAGACTACCTTCGCCCCGCCCCCTCCCCGACAACGTCGAAAACAAAAAAATGGGTGCCTAGGCGTGCAAGAAAACTGCACCTTGACAAGCCCTTGGTTCGACAAAAGACAAAAGGGTTTATTCCCCAAGACCGTACGGAAAAAAAAAAAAACTCGTCACACACACTGGAAGAATGATGCTGCTATGCTACAGCGGGGGGAACGAACGCCCCATCTGCACCAGCTCAACCACCGAGGGCAAGCGACCGCGTCTGTCTGTCTCCAAAATGGACCAACCCCACCCAAGGCACAACCAACTTTGCATCCCGACAACATCTTGCCTGCCACACCCAGAAAACGCCAACCCAAAAGTCACAACCAACTTTGCATCCCGACAACATCTTGCCTGCCACACCCAGAAAACGCCAACCCAAAAGGACCAAACAGCACCGAAGAGACACCAACACCGCCACAAACGCCTAGACAGCCGAAAGACAGAGACACCAGGAGCGCCAAGGGCCAGCACAGCGCTCACATCACGCTTGAAAACAGGCGAAATTGCTGCCACGGCCATGCATCGACGGAACGAGGGCAGGCATCGAAACAACCCCACGCCGTCCACATGAAAGACATGTTACGGCTCCACCAGCTTCGGTGGGTCGTTGCCGTCGTCGATCGGTTGGACGGACTCGGCTTCCTCAGCAACGGTGTCGCCACCGATGGACTTGTCGTCCTCGGCGACGTCCATGTCAGTGATGGCGCCATCGCTGCCGGTGTCGGTGTCGGTGTCGGTGTCGCTGTCGGTGCTGCTGCCCTGTTTTGCTGGCCCCTGTTGAGCGAAAGAAAGACAACGCACAGGCCAATCGTGGTGAAATAGTCGGTGAGAGTACCAAGGAGAGGTAGGGATATTGTACTCGTAGAATGCTGTATTTCGCTGGCCATAAGCATTTGACTATGGGACGGGAGTGCTAGGGAACGGAAGCGCTTTTCAAACCCTTGCTGTTTACCGTGGTGTGTTCGTACATTCTTGTCATGTGTTCAACGCCTTCCTTCACGATACATGCCTGCCGTTGAACCAACTCACCGTGCCGTTGCAGCCGTCTGCCGTCCGGTCCCTGCACGCAGCCATGTCCGCGTCGAACTTGGACATGATGGCAGCGGTCATGTCTCGAACCCCGTTGAACCGGGCGCTACAACATTCATTCATGTGTCGGACGGGGGGAACAGATTGGGCGCATGTTAGTTATTGTGTTGTACGAGTAGCACTTGCTACCCTTTACTCTAACGGTCAATCGTAGCGGTGTTGGCAACAATAATAGTTTGCTTTGTTTCTGGATCACCACCAGGCTCGACCCAGCATACCGTATATGACACAAGATAACACACCCCCCGGACCAATTTTCAAAGCTCGATTACTCCACGACGAAGAGGATGCATAAACGAAACGATACATTTCTGGAAAGCTCTCGACAAGATGGTTCCAACGCCGCCATTTTTGGCGCCATTACTCTTTCTGCTGTTGAGAAATCGAGATTTGAAAATCGGCCCAGGGGGTGTGTTATCTTGTGTCACTTACGGTAACAACCTTGTCGTGCCAGCCATAGGACTAGATAGGTATGACGGAGACAGCGGAAGCAACGGGGCAAGCCTGCAAGCATCAGAGCTTCCAGAATCAACAGCAATTGTGAGAGAGGCCAAGCATAACAGGATCAACCGCAGCAGGGAACAGCAACAACAGAAACAACAACGATGCACACAAGTAGTAGCTCTCCATCATGGTAAGTGTTACGAGCTTGAAAGCTCTTGGCAGACACAAGCCCTAGCTACGGCAACCAAACTCAAGGACGACAAGGCAGTCATCGCTTCGACCCCGACAAAATCTGGCATGCACTCTCCCCTTGCATCCAACAACGCATAAGAATGCTTACCCGACTCGCGACGGGACTATCTTCACCATGGCATCATCGCTGACACCCCGTGGGCGGAATAAGGAGTCCAGCAAGCCGTACCCCGGCGGCTTGGGTGCCTCCACTGCATTCGCAATGGACACCGGTGCTCCCGCTTGCATGGCCTTGTCGGCCAAGAAGCGGGCGAGGTCTAGCGACTGGGAATCCAGTCGCTCGAGCCCCGCTGCGCACGCCCGAAACGCCGCTTGGGTCTCGCGAGCCTGTTACAAGTGAGAGTCGCACAAAAACAACCAACGAGACACAGCGGTAGGGGCCGACGGCTTGTAGACGGGGGTTACAGAGTCGCTCTCTTCATGACTGGCTCTCCGGGGGTCGGGCTGTGCTATCTATCCACGGACGGTGGGCTGCCCATGCACCCCAATACCAACAGGTTCGACAAGCGTGTATGTACCCCCCCCTCCCCCCATTCCCAACGCATGATCCATGATCCACTGCCTATTTCGTTCGATGCCAAAGGGTGACATCGAGCATCACTTTCCCCCACCCCCCTTCTGTGTACAAACTCACCGCTGGATCTCTCCCGGCGATGATGTTGCGACCGCTCAAGGCATGCTTGAACACATGAAGCGCTGCTGTGCATGTATGTAGACTATTGATCGGAATAGTCGGGCCCCGTGATTGATCACCCTGATACCAGCAATAGAGTGACACACGGTACAGTACCCTTGGCGTCACGCTCAGGCAGGTGCATCTGATGCATACCTCTTCCTCAGAGGCCATCGTCTCCTCCAGGCGGTCCATCGCCCTCTCCTCCACTTCTACGACCTGTTGCCGGCAGCCGGAGAGGTCGTCCAGCAGCTGCCTGGTGAAGGACAGCGCCACGTCTCCGATCTCCCCCAAGCGAGTGCTAAATGAAGAGCATCGAAGCAGCCGAGACGAGGGAGCGGAGGGTGAAGGGGAGGGCCACGGCTACTGCTTGCTTCTGTCGCCCCTCCTCTAGCCTCTCGCCTCATTTCAAGACAGAGGGCGGCAGGGGGTGTCCAGGGTTCGTTTGGTCCTGCAAACACCTAGGCCCGACCATGAAAATTGCGGCTAGCAACTGTCGAAAGTTGTCGGGACCAAGCAACACACGGCGCGAGCGGGACGCTCCACAACGATCAGGACTTCAATCCTGGGTGAACATATCTCCCCAAATGGCTCCCATGTTACCAAACAGGTCGTCGAGACTGCACGGGTCCGCCCGCACAAACTACAGAAACAACTGGCTAGTGACAGCAGCAACAACGCTTTCACGAGCAACCATCGCCAAGCACAACGACACCAACGGTAGTCACTGCCAAACCGACACTATTGCCCCATCACGTGCCCCCCCCCCTTGAGGTCAACCGGAAACAACGACGAGGACGTACCGGATCTTGTCGTAGGTTGCCGCGGAGGAGACGCTCCCTTCCCCGCCCCACCTCTGAGCGCCAACGGTCTTCTCGACCGCGGTCAGAACGGCAACAGTCTGCTCGTCGAGTTTCTCCAGGCTGGCCGCACACGAATCGGCAGCCGTCTCCGCCTCGTCCACCTGCGCACGGTTAACGGCGACCAGATTTCGAGCCAAAACAAAGGCAGTGGCGAGATTGCGGTGTGGGGAGGGCGGAGAGCGGGTGAGCGATGAGGGTCAAGAGGGTTGCTGTCTTCCCTTCGATGGTTGTTCTCGGTCTTTCAGGCCATACACTACACATCACTGCACTGCAGACAGCAGCACGCGTCCAAAAACACTTCAAAAAAACTCAGACGGGGTACTTACTTCGTTCTGGAGGTCCACCATCTCCTCTTCGAGGGCCTGACGCTGCCGCTCTTCTTCCTCATGCTTGGCCGAGAAGGAGTAGATCGTCGTCGCGACTCCATCCAGGCGAGCACTGCAACACACCACAAGCAGGGAGAGAATGGGCACACGCTCTGCTGTTGATGCCCGGTCACTGCGGGGTCAGGGCATTGTGAGATACAGCGGGGAGCAACGCCCTGAAACAAGAATGGCAATAGGAGTACCTTGACAATAGGAGTACCGACCGGGCCGGCTTGAACATGAACGGCTTGGCTGTTATTCGAATCAGGAGGATCGGGAGTGTTGACACCGTCAAGGATTTGAGTGAGAGCCGCCGCAACTCAATCGCAACAGAGGCAGAGCCATTTCATATTTCGCATCAAATCGCACAACGTGGTGTAAAGGTTGACGCGTGGACATGTTGCTGTTCACCTGTGGCAAGCCGAGATTGCCTTTTCGATGGTTCCTCGATAGGGAAAGAATTCGTATGAACACCAGCACATCCTAGGTTCAACATTTCAAGTTCATCCTGTACCCCGCTACACGAACAACCTTTAGCCATCGACATCAAACACTCCCTGCTACTCTGTACACCAACGGTGAGAGAGGGGTCGACAAATCATCGGAACCATGCGCCAATTCCAACCTCATCATCAACAACCAAACGAACCACAAACAACAAGCACCACCGACACCGCGTAGATCCGCGCCAAATTACCACCATTTACGTGGGGGCGCAAGCACGCTGAAGAGCTCGCTTACCACGTGCGTTGACGCGCCTCGTGAGCTGCCGACAGGCCGGCCGCTGCCCACGTGGTGGCCTCCGCAGGCCTGGGGGTAGCCGGCTGGAGACCCCCTCTGAGGAGGTGCGTGCTCTCTCCCGCCAAGAGGGAGAGGGTGAACGACGCCTCGTCCACTTCTGCCATGTCGTGCTGGCACGACGCAAGGTCTTGGCGCTGGTGTCGCACGGTGGACTCGAGGGAGTTGATCGTGCCGTCAGCGGCGACGAGCTCGGCACGAAGGTCGACCTCCGTCGTGAAGACTCGATTTCGAGAGGACTGCCGCAGCGTCGTTGCTGGCGGTCGCGGCGGCAGTCCTCTCGAAATCGAGTCGAGCGGCGTCAGCAGCGGCAGCGGTCTTGAGGATTGCCACCGTGTCTAGCAGCCCCTTGAGGTCGGCTCAGAGGGCTTGAGCGAGCGCAGCAGCATCGTCGCTGGCGGCCTTGGCAGCCGTCCTCTCCGACGCCAGTCGGGCGGCGTCGATTGCGGCCGAGTTCTGCAGTCCCTTGGCGGTCGAGGACAGCAGAAGCACGTCCTCCTCCAGCCCAGCGATCCGGCTGAGCTGGATGTCGGAGCGCCTCTGGCGACACGTTACCACGTATCATGGCGGGTGGAAAAGGAAGAAGAAGGGGCGTGTGAGTGTGGGGGAGAAACTTCGGAGCAACTGTAAAGACACCGACAACAACTACGCCGAGAAACCGCAACAGCAACAAGAGCGGCAACAACGCTGCCGGAATGCGAGCGTGTGTGCGATGGATATTCCTGTGATTCCACGGAGCGACACACTGCCTGGCGCAAAAAAAAAGCCTGCGGTTTCTCGACGGTTGTTGTGAAACACGGTTTGTCGTCTATTGGGGGGGGGTGGGGGGTGGCGTCCACTGAAGGAAGGACACGTACACATCACGACGGTTTCACGGTACCACGTTCGTTACTCCGAGTGTGCACTACAGCGAGGGGTGGCATGGCAACACACATAACCACGGTATGGTTGGGTTCTACCGCGAAGCGAAATGTTCCCTCGGTCAGACCATTTGTTCACGTGTGCTGCCTTTGCAAAACTACATGCAGTTCATGAGAACTGCCGGAGACGTCAATACCGCACTCAACAAATCATACCGGTCGCCCCGGTGGTCTAGTTGGTATCCTCGAAACCTTCTAGAGGTCAGGTCAGGGGTTCGGATCCCGGCGTAAGCGAGCTTTTTCTTGCAAAGTGAATTTTCTCTCGCTTCCGCTCCTGGCCTAGTGGATAGCGCTAGTTCGTGTGTACACAGAGAGAAGAGAGTGCTGAACTCTTCTCGCGTTGAAAATCGAAGGCAAAGTACCGCAGGAGAGGAGGGTAGAGAGGGGCTCTTCTGTGTGACCACGGGTTGGGGTAAACGGCACCAGTGCTGTGAGCGCTGATTTGAAGTTAAGACAAAAAAAAATCCATCACTCTAGTGGATGGACGAGATAGGACTTACCCTGACGTCGCGAGTAACCTCGGCCGCCTTGGACATCAGTTGTCCGGGGGATGCTCCTGAAAAAATATCCAAGAACGGAAACGGCATGCATGCGGGAAAATACCAGACGGCAGACTGGAAAAAACAGACAGTGCGGGTCCTTCAGACACGGCGGCTACGTAGGAACGCACATCTTGTTGTACGAAACAGCTTGATCAACGGAACCTCCGCCATGATGGAAATGATGGGCAAACGGCGCACCACGAACGTGCACCGCGGTAACACCACACACAGCAGTCACGCATGCATTATCTACTGCACATGGCATCGAGCACAGAGACTCACGGCGCATGACTCTCACCGAGCTAGTTATTGCTCCCGACCTTGACTCCGATGGCGCGGGGGGGGGGGCTTGGGAAACAGCACTAATTAATTATCAATCGTGGACTTTGATGATCGGAGAAGTGACCAGACGGTCAAGGGGCAAAAACAACAACAACGTGACACCTTCTTCTCACCTCATCATCGCCACGACAGCCTGCTGGCGATCGTACTGCGCCACCGCCGCGATAGCCTCCTCGAGCTTCCCGCCGCGGACGCCCTTCATCATCGCTACCTCAACATGGGATCGAAGAAGCTCAGTGTCGATGCCTTCGGTGGCCTTCATGGCCTGCATCACCTCCATCAACCACCGCTTCTGGGCCTGGACAACGAAAGAACAACACTTCACATTTCAAATTTCAAATTTCAAATTTCAAAATTTGAAATTTGAAATTTGAAATGTTGTTCTTTCGTTGTCCAGGCCCAGAAGCGGTGGTCGGTACACAGGCCATGAAGGCCACCGAAGGCATTGACATGGACCTTCTGCGCTCCCTCGCGGAGGTAGCGATGATGAAGGGCTTCCGCGGCGGGAAGCTGGAGGAGGCCATCGCGGCGTTGGAGAAGTACGACAGCCAGCAGGCGCGCATTCCGCTCATGGGGTGAGAGGAAGGTTTGTCACATTGTTATTTACTGTATGCATACCTGTCCAAAAGGAACCGATCGTATATTTTAACCCTTCCTTTTGTTTGGTCACTCCTCCGACTATCAAAGTCCATGATTGAGTATTAAATCGTGCTGTTTTCCAAGGTCGGACGGGGGGAGCTACAGTATATCCCCCCCCCCGCCTTCGGTGTTTGCCATCGGGGTTGGGTTTTCGTCGCTTGGCAACGACGTTGTA